CATTATAATCTATCTATCTGTCTGTATGTGTGTGTGTGTGTGTTCAAATTGTTACTGAAGGCCACTTTCAGTGATACATTTTTTAAAGTTTTTTAAAATTGTAACAATGGACAGTGGATAATTTGCTTAGTTGAACATGTTGCCTGATGTTTTGTTGGAAATTATAATTTTACCAGGCAGAAAATGACCATATGAGTGGTTTTAGTAACAAAGACAAAAGTAATACAAAGAAAGTTAAATGTCAAAATGATATTCTCCATTAAATGTAGATAAAGCACAAAGCTCAAAAACTTGTGAAATTCAAACCTGAGGTTAAACTCTGCATACAGTTATTAATATAAATGTACTTATAAACATCTTTTCCTTGCTGAGGTTTTGGGAAAACTTAAATGCATTTGAACATCGCAGGAAGCATTATAATTAGGCATAGTGTTGTGTGAGATTAACATGGTGTACCGACAATCCTCAGTTGGCTAGCTTGTGACAAAAATTTGAAAACATATCTTGCAGGAATTTTGGAAAACGGCCTTTAGTTTTCTGCAGATTTATAGTTACGACTTTTATACTTCCATTAGCAAGTCAGGGCGTACACCTGTGTAATATTTGTAGCTGAACCCTGTGAGTGGACAGGCTTTGGTGGCGTTAATTGCTTAAATGGCTAATTACCTTGATTTGTAGTTTTTTCCTTTTCTATTTTAAGCCTTCACAATGGCTGTATATTTGGAGGCATGTGTAAAGAGCACTGTGCTGATACAGGTTGGGCAAATTAGCTGGACTGCAGCCATGATGGGCAGCCAAATGAAGATATTTTACTGTGCATATTTATGTGTGTGTGCCAGGTTTACTGTCAGAATTTAATTACTGCTTGGGGCAAAAATACCTCAGAAGGCTGATAAAATTACAATCATGTTAAAAACTGTCAGGCAAACAGGCATTGAAACTTGTTGCTAGCATTTTTCACTTTATCCTGTTGCCGTGCATGTATCGTTGAGTTGTCAAATATTTGTGTTTGTCACTGTCGTCCCTCGTGGGCTACCAAAGTGGATTTCTAGGAGCCTGTGACTCAGAGGGAACATTCTCAGTGTGCCTGGCAGAGGAAATTGTTATCAGAAGACAGTCAAACAGACAGTCTGTAGGAGACTAACACATTTATTGTACACAAAACTGTATCAACAAATAAAATGGAACCATCATGGTGCACTGGTTGGAGCCAGAGAGGAGAAAAACAGCATCTTCCAGCAACTGGGCAACTGGAATAAAACATGGAGTAAGTGGTTTGGCCTCCTTGTAAAATGAAACAAGTCTTATGAGTACAAATTCAATGTGTACTGCCAGTATGATCAGTAACAATTAAATTAAAAACAGCAAGACCCAAAAATCAAATGTAATATAATGTGTAAAAAAGTGATTTCAGTGTGACTCTGTGTGTGACTGTGTGTACAGTACATTCAAAAGCAGCAGGTGTGGTTTTTGTGAAGGCACTGGTGTATCTTCTATCTCAGTAATACTATATGTAGTTATTTATCTGAGAAGTAACACACACTGCACAGCAGTCGTGCAGTCATTTGCAACGTCACTTCATGGCAAGAAGGTTCTGGGTCCAGCTGGCTGACCAGGGCCTCTCTGTGTTTATGTGTTTTCCTGTGTAGGTTTTCATTGGGTACTTCAATTTTCTCCCACAGACCAAAGACATGCAAGTTAGACTCTAAGTTGCCTGAGTGTGAGTGTACTCTGCACATCTCACTATCCAAACCATGGACATGTGCTACACAACAAATTAAATACCAGTATATTCTGCATGGGTGTGTGTGTTTTGGGGGAGAATCATTAGGAAACCTTTGGAAAGAGAAGACATTTTCAAATATCTGTATGTGCATCAAGGCTTACTATAGACTTAGAGCTAAGGGAATGTTTAAACATTATGAAAAATACTCATATTTGCTTTCTTGCTTAGAGTTAAATAAGAAGATAGCACTTTTCTGTATGCTGAACATGAAGATAGAGCCAGAAGGCAAAATGCTTATTGCAATTTTAAAAGGAGTTGTGTGTTGCTTTTACATTTTTGCTCACCTACTGTATACTAAACTAATTTCCTACTGGCTCTATCTTAATATTTTGTGTGCAAACATGAGAATGATATCAATACTTTTATCTAATGCTCTGCAAGAAAGCAAATAAACCTGTTTCTCAAACTATCAATCTGATACTTTAGCGCTACAGTCAGGATAGGTGTTGGGGTCAGGACAGCTGAGAATAGCGTTAGGGGACAAGGTATGTATTATTGTCAGTGATTGTTTTCACAAGTCTATCTTTTGTATGTGCGCTGAATTATAGTTAATATGTGCTTTCTGATTTAGTATGTGAGAGGCTGGGTCATACTCCAGAACATTATCTCACTGCTTTTCATTGATCCCTGTCTTATTTCAGTGACAACCTTAGTGCTGTGCATTGCTGTGTGCTCTAGAGGGTTGATAATAAAGCTGGCTTTTAGCTCCAGAAGATGAGGTCACATTTAATTATTTCACCTAATACTCTATTATTTTAAATAAACTCTACTCTCTCTCTCTCTCTCTCTCTTTTCATCCATCTTTTTCCTCCATGTGTTTCCTTTAAAATCTTCCATGATTATTTTTTTGAGGGAACTTTCTTCATCTGTCCCTTAATGCCACTCCTCCTTGTGGCTGTTCATTGATTACAAATGGCTCTGGACTGCAGTGTGTGTGTGTGTGTGTGTGTGTGTGTTGGAGGTCAGTGGGGAGTGAGGCTCCTCATAATTTAATTCGATAATCAAGCCAGCCCCCACCCCACCCAACCCCCACCCTTTTTTCTCTCTCCATCTCACATCTCAAACATATTTCTGGCTACATCTTGTTATTTTTAATAATATGTCATTATTACTTTTTCTTTGTTTTTTGGAACACTTTATGATAAAATTTATTAAGCTCTTGAATGTTCTTTAATACAGTGTTAGCAAAGTAAAATAAGCTAACAACAATAGTCAGCCAGCTATTTACAGTACATCTGAATAGCAAATTATCATTGATTCCCTATGTACTAGTCCCCATATTGCTTTTAGTTAATCTCTGGTTAAAAGCCAATGTTATCTTTCTCATCCTCTTGTTCTGTCCTCTTCTTGTTTTTTCTAGTTTTTAATAAACCACTTTCACCTTTAGTCCTTTCTGTTATTCTCAGGATCAGCATGACTCTTTCACCAACTCCCCCCATCCACTGCTGCCATGTTGCTTTCCTTTTCTCTTTCTAGACACCACTTGCCATGTTCTTTCTGGATCAAGAGCCCTCATGTATTGTATTTTTTCTCTCTTATCCTTCACCCTTTTCCACCCTCATAATACCTCGGTGCAGCTGCAGAAAATTGCCTCCTCATGCAGTGTGGTCTTGTGTATATGTATTTTTTATAGCTTATTAGCCAGCCTGTTGCACCAAATTGCTTTACAATATACTATACCGCTCAGCACTGTGTTGAATTTTTAACCAAGGGGACGGGGAGGAGGATGGGAGAAATGTGATTTTTTTTTTCTACATGAGAGCACTCTTATACCTCTCCATCTCATTCTGTCTGTCTCTCTTTGTGTTGTTTCAATTACACGCACACGGCTTGAACCAAACTTCCTGGCAAACAAATTTACAAGAGAATGGGTTTTGTCATGCTAAAGAATTTCTTTATTACTAGAACAGATTAAAAAAATGATCGCAGAGATTATTTAAATTGCTAATCAGTATGATTAAAAAATTGCATCATCTTTCTAGCAATGGTGAGATGGATTTCAGAAAATTATTATTTTTTTATATCACATCTGAATGTCTACTGAAGAACTGGGTGTGTGCAGATGATGAGTTAATATACAGATAGAACAAGACAAGAGTCAGTCATGCTAACTGCTACTACTTAGACACAGTAGTGCTCAGAGCTACATGCTAATGTCAACATGCTAACAGGCTGATATTAAGCAGGTATAATGTTTGCCATACTCACCATCTGTTAGCATGTTAATATTAACTACTGTAACTGAATAATTAGCTGTAAACACAAAGTACAGCTGAGACTAATGGAAATGTCTTTAATGTTGCAGGTATTTCATAATAAAGCAAAGTATTTGACAAATTTAAATTTTGGCCTGATGGCGCAAGAGAAGCAAAGTCAATAGGCATCAGTCTCTGGGGACCATTAACACCCATCCATTATCTACACCACTTATTCTGTAGAGGGTCATGGGGGGCTGGAGCCAATCCCAGCTGAAATTGGGCAAGATGCAAAGCACACCCTGGACAGGTCGGCAGTCCATCATAGAGCTGACACATAGAGGGAGGGAACCATTCCCAATCACACCTCCAGGCAATTTAAAGTCACCATTTAACCTAACCTGCATATCTTTGGGCTGTGGAATTCTGGTTGTGGATAAAAATTTCTACGCTTCATTCACAGAGGATACGTCTTTACATAAGTTGTGTAAAAAACCCAGTATATTCCAGTAGTTAAACATTAGAGTACTGGCAGTTTCAGTCACCTAAGCCTTTCCTTCCTTTTCATTCAGTTTAGATAGCACACTAATTTTCTTTTGTATTGACATGAGTATAAATGTATGTAATGTGTGGCAACCTACCTAGCGAGACAGTCCTGCATGTACACTTGTCTAAGATGCATATCTTGTTGCATGCATTGTTATGATCTCTTCACCTTTCCCGTACCTCTTTGTGGTCGTCCCTCTCTAATTCACATGTATTTATCTATATCTCTTTAGCCCTCTCTGTCGACTCTTTGCTGTTTATCCCTCCCTGTCTCTGATCCTTCTCCCTTGTGCCTTCGCCTTAATCTCTCTTCTTACTCCTTTATCTGTTCTAACCTACATGTCACTTTCTGTCCTCTTCCAGCCCTCTCCATCTTTATCCTTCACCTTCTCCTCCTCTACCTTTTGTGCACACACATGAGTGAGCACATGTTTTCATCCACCTAATGTTTTCACCTCTGCTCTCTTTTTCAGATGGCGTCCACAGCATTTCAGCCCAGTGCGTCCTTCGTGTTCTCATCATCACTGAGGACATGCTGGGCAACAGCGTCACTGTCCGCCTCCAAAACATGTCCCAGGAGCACTTCTTGTCACCACTGTTGGGTAACTTCCTGGAGGGTGTGTCTGCGGTGCTCTCAGTGCCCGTTGAGGATGTTTTCATCTTCAACATCCAGCCGGACATGGATGCGGTGCCAAGAGGGATCCTGAATGTCAGTTTCTCTGCTGCGTTGCCTGGTGGACACTTTTTCCCATCAGAAGCTCTGGAGGAGCAGCTGTACCTGAACAGGCTAAGGCTGACATCATTAACACAGATGGAGGTTAGGCCTTGTAGACACACAGATAAGAATGAAATGCACAATAAGGATTTTAAAATTCTTGTTGTTTAGCAACATGTTGCCTATCAGTGACAGAAATTCTGAGGCTTTAAACTTGTAATGCAGTATATTTATGTTGTTGTATTAGTACTTTCATATTAGAGTACTGACTGAATGTAAATACTTCCACCACTGCTTGCATGACTTACTGTAAAACCCAACTGGGACAGAGCCAATGTAAATTTTGTTAGATACACCTGCACTTCACCTGCTCTGGCAAGTCAAAACGTCTGCTGTGAGAAAAACCCTGTGGCGTGTTTCAGAAAGAACAATGAAATAAGTCCTCTGTGAGGAGCTGACTAATAAAAATGAGCGTTCTCCTTTCCTCATCCATCACTCCAGGTTCTTCCATTTGACGACAACGTGTGTCTGCGTGAGCCGTGCCAGAACTATATGAAGTGTATCTCGGTGCTGCGCTTCAACAGCTCTGCTCCCTTCATATCCTCACCCTCTATCTTGTTCCGGCCCATTCACCCAATCGCTGGCCTACGCTGCCGCTGCCCAGTGGGCTTTACGGGTGATTACTGTGAGACAGAGATCAACCTGTGTTACTCCAACCCCTGCCTGAATGGAGGGGTGTGTGTACGCAGGGAGGGGGGCTACACCTGCATCTGCCGTGAAGACTTCACTGGTGAGTAGGCAGAGGAGTGTGTGAGGGGATGCATGTATTTGTTCTGCTGTGGCAAATGTGAGACGATGTAAACTTTCATCAGTGTAACAGGTTTTTTTGGTTCGTTGGCTCTTTTGTGGATAGACATAAGGCCTGGAAGGTGTGTGTTTCCACACAAAGAAAGAGCTGATTTGTGTTTGTGTGTGCTAGTGATGATGGCATTGTAATATTAGTACCTACACATCTAGCTGTTTCTGATCCTGATCACTTCAGTTAGTTACCTTTAACACACACACTAAACTGTATTTGTCTTGCAATCTAAGTCACAGGTTGAACTGACTGACCTTTCCAGTGTTCCTGTTTTAACAACATACTAATTGAGAGTCAGATTAGGCTGTGATAACCTACTATTTAAAGGGTCCTTCAGTACAGACATTTGATTAAATACCTTCAGACACTTACTATAATAGTGCTCATGCAGAGAAAATGTCACCTACTGTAAATAAAACCCAAGCTGAGCAGTGTCTTGCTCTATTACAAGCCTTTTCCAGGAGCTAGATCTATAAAATATAGACAGATGAACGGCAGTGTTTCTCTTTTAACTTACACCGAATCGTTTTGTTAGATTTACTGTATAACATTTGTATTGCAAAAAATGGTCAGAGTTCAAAAACATCTGACTGTTACCCTGTCCGGTATTTAGTAGTACTGTAACAAACTACAAGTTATAGTATATGAGACTTTCAGCATCAAGATTTTTCCTTCTAAATTAGCTTTTGTCTTTTTATGTCCCAAAGGACTCCTGTCAAAATTTTTGCTTATTATTATTATTATTACTAATATCTTTATTACTATCTCTTTGGCCAACTCCAGAGTTGGAAAAACACACTTTTCATGTTGTCAATATCACACCATCAGTAGTTCCTCAGTTTCAAACTGAGTCAACGCTTCAGCTTGAGGAAACAATGCTAAATGGCTGCATTAATGCATGTGAATAGAAAATGCATCATGTTTATATATTGTAAGGGCAAATTTAAACATATCTGATATCTTTGGAAACTTTGCAACTCTTAAATGAGGGTGTTAATATAATTGGGATGTGCATGATTTATGTAACTTTGTAATGATAGACCCATTGATAGTGTAAGAGTGCTCTGTATATTGATGATTGTTTTACTCTCCTCTATGTGACTGTTAGTGAATAGGATAGAGTGTGATGTGCTTATTTGTATATGTGTGTGTCCGTTGCATCTTATTGTAGTCTTTATCTTTACCCCGGTAAACTGTCACCGACTGTGCTACTCTGTTCGTGTCCCATGCTGCCTGACTTCCTTTTCGATTCACTCTGGTTTCACTCTTTTGTCATCTTCAGCTGAACAACATGAAAACACACACTGCCTTGTGGGAGAGCTTCCTCTTCCTCTTGTTCCTCAGTGTTCTACCTGTTATTTGGTTTTTCACACACACACACACACACACACACACACACACACACACACCACTATAAATGCCTCAGTCTTTTTATATTGCTGCCAAGCTAATTGTTCCCCCCTCACACGTACTCTCACACACACTCATATACACATTTCTTGCTTGCCTTTCCCAGTCCACTGGGCTCATTTCAGACTGTCTCCCTGTCTTCCCTGCCCCTTTATACTGCTGCATTGCTTCAGTCTTGAAGACACTGAGTTGATGGAGGTGAGCATCTAGATGAACGTCAGTGTGTGTGTCTGGAGGATAGTTTGCCTTTTATTTCAAGTCAGAAGAGAACTAGGGGAGTGAAGCAACACTTTCTTTCATGTGAGAGACTGAGTGTTTTCCAAACTCCCACTGACACAGACAGAAAGAAAGATATAAAGAGGGAACGAGAAGAGCAAAGGAGAAATCAAGGTAGAAAGAAACAGAGTGAGTGGGAGGAGTAGAGGAAGATAGAATAGAGGATTACAGAAGGAAAGAGCGATGAAGAGAGTCAGAAAAATTTGAAAAACAGCGGTGACAATGAAAAGTATGAATGTGAAGAGGAAATGAAGAGATAAAAATGATCCCGTACAATGTTGGATTTTTGGAAATACCAGTGAAAAACTGGTACTTTAATTTAAATGGTACATTAATTATCAATTCAAGACAGTGGACCTAGACTGCACTGTGAGACACATCCGCCAATGGCTGATGTGAAGTGTTGTCAACCAAAAACAGGCTCTGTCATAGTTCTGTCTAAAATTAAGGACCAAATTCTCACAATGTGACTGCTGCTACAATCAGTCTTTGTAAACCAGCTGATCAGAGTTTGACATGAAATCACTCAGAACACATTGGAACATAGTAAACACCACTTTTTATAAAAAAAAAAAAAACAGAAAATCAGAGCCAGTGCTATGGCTAAAGTTTGGATGAAAGATGACGTGTCTCTGCTGGTGTTTTTTTTATCAAAGAGTTGTTGGACCCAGTGTGACATACAGTGAACCTGCAAGATTCCTGTTACCACTGGCCTTAAGGTCGAAGACAGAAAGCGCAAAAGAGACACAAAAAGGTGAACACGCATGACTCTGAGAGAACAGGAGGGGCAGAAAAAAATAAGAGTTAAGATGAGAGGAGAAGGTGAGAGAGAAAACATAAGAGATGAAGAAAAGGATGGAGATGAGATGGGAGCAAAACAAGAACTGAGAGAGACAGATGAATCCAGAGGGATAACATGAAAAGAAGGCTGCTGGGGAAAACTGGGTAAGAGACATTGAAGAGCAATGACAGTGAGGGATGGGCGAGGAGTAGAGGGAAATCAGATGGGTCCTGGGTAGCTGGTGTTGTGCTTTTCTTGCGTAGGTGTCGGGTGTTATGGTGTTTCGTCAGTGCCTAGAGCCAATGAGGAATGAGGAACAAGAGAAGGAGGAGTAAACAGGGACAATTTGATCTGTAACACCATGTTTCTTCTCTTCCTCATTTGTTATTTTTCATGTCTCCATCCAACCTGCTTCCTTCTTCATCCAACCCCTCAAATTGCTTTTCCATGAAACTCTATGAATTACTCTCACAGGTAGGAGCTAAGCCCAGCGTTTTGACCGAGAGTAGAAACTTTTTTTATCTTTTTTCTGTAGGAAATATTTTTTTATTCTAAAATGGTACATTCCTGAGTCAACTGTATTTTGTTGGCAACTATTTTATGTAATAATAGCTTCATCAGCTTATTATAGGCCCCATTCAGACAGAGCTACCATTAGGGGTGGGGAATAATATATTGTCTGTGGTCCTTGTTAATTATATTTATCATTTTGGATGTGATTATAAGCTACACAAAACTGCAGGTTATAATCTGCATGGACATTGAACAGGACAAAGCCAAAAGAATAAGATAAACGTCTCCCCTGGGAGACTTTTAAGGACTGGTGAAGGCAAGGCAAAGATACTGTGTGAAGTGAATTTCTCAGAGCCATAACACATATTGATATAATTCAGTGGATCATAGACTTCCTGAGAATATCATTATTTACAAATGTGAATAAACATCCATGCATCCATTTAAAAATCATATAAAAAGATGATTCAGCAGTTCTCTTCATTATCAAAGTAATCCACTCATAGATGTCTGCACATTCACGGGGACATTACAAACAGGAACTCCTAATAGCTAAGTCGGCATATAATTAATGGTGCCTGGTTGCCAAACTGTAAACAAAATGTAGGCTAAAAGTTTCACTCAAATAAAGAAACCTGTAGATGACATTAGATTTCCTCATTTGATGAGCTGTTATGGGGTTTTAATTTTCTTATAGCTTTAATCTTTCCCACAAATAGCCTATCTGTTGGTGTTAGAACATGTTCATGCATCACATTAGCAAAAACCTTTTTTTTTTTTTTTTTTTTTTTTTTTTATTTTATTTTTTTTCCACCAATTAAACAATGTTCTTGAATCCCATTAGAAAAAACCTTTTTTTTTTTTTTTTTTTTTTAAACTTAATCCATTTTCATCCAGAATCACATTTTACACTAAGCTGGTAAAGTATAAAGACAAGTAGCTCTTTTGCAGGAACAAACTTAGTGATCCACCACCCATGTACTGTACAGTATGCTCTATGGACTAGATTAAAATGACTCACCAGGTAGGACAGTACGCACCACACACCACCCTAGAGAAAAAAGCCTGTCTGAGTGGGGCTTAAAACCATACATTTTGAATGACGAGACGGTATCCAAATCTTCCAAATATACTGTATGCTCAGTTGGCTTAACTTATTATTTCCTGGTTTGGTAGCTGGTGGGCAGTCTTGGTTAAAGTAAGCATCACATCAAAATAGAAGAGTAACTTAGAAATCTGTAACCTGTAAATCTCATGGTGCACTATCATAAAGATTTATATTCATTAAAATTGAAATATTTCATACCTGTAGTGCTCACTTCTCTGTAAGCTTGCAGCACTAGTGGAAATGTGCACAGTTATAAAGCCTGAAAACAAGAAAAAGACCTCAGTGGCACAATATAAAGAAATGTTCCCAGTGAACAGTGAACCTTAAAGACAAGTGAAACAGCAGATAGACGTTATCTGATTGTTTCACAAACTGAAGGAAGTTAGTCTCAGACGTGATAAAGAGAGATGCACATTTTACAGATGTAGGTGGGGTGTACGCCTCAGAGACCCAGGAAATGCAAAGAGGAGATGAAAGACAGCGTGAGAGAAGCATGGATGCAGACTAAATTAGTTTGTGAGAAGATATTACAGCAGTAAGGAGAGAGGACGCTGTCAGAAATTAAATCTCTTAGCTGTTGTGAAACAATCTGTAATTTAGACAAAGTGAAGACAGCAAGAGATCGAGACAGAGAAAAAATGCAGTAGGTAGAGGTGAGATTAGGTTTGGATGTGATAGAGCACATATGCATGTTAATATGAGAAATTTAAGATTGGTAGAGGAAACAAATCACAGATGCAGAGCAAATTAGCTTGATGTGGTTGATACTATGTGAGGCTTGTGAAGAATAATACTAGTGCATGAGCAAGTTTTGGTGTTTTGAAGAGGGTGTAGATAGTTTGA